GAAAGAAAGAGAAAAGAAAGAAAGAAAGTGAGAATGAAAGAAATAGAGAAAGAAAGAAAGTGAAAAAGAGAAAGAAAGAAAGAGAGAAAGAAAGAGAGAATGAAAGAAATAAAGAGAGAGAAAGAGAGAAAGAAAGAGAGAAAGAAAGAAAGAGAGAGAGAAAGAAAGAGAGAGAGAAAGAAAGCAAGAAAGCAAGAAAGCAAGCAAGCAAGCAAGCAAGCAAGAAAGAAAGAAAGAAAAGAAAGAAAACTGAGCTGAGGAGGAAGACAGAGAGGAGGAGGGGGAAAAATCCCTACAGTAAAAGCTTAAAATAAGAGTTTTTCAGATACGGTGCCAAATCCAGTGCTGGCAGTAGTGGGCACAAGGCCATTGACTTCCAGCCCAAGCTCGACTGAAGTCGATGCCAGCGGTGAGTTGGCTGCCCCAGCACCGGAGGAAGGCCATGGAGCTTTGTCAAGTTTTCCCGGGCTGCCTATAGAGCTCTCCCTCACCCCCAGCCCACTCCCCTCCTGCCGTCCCCATCCTGCAGTCCTTTCACAGCAGCTCATCTAGCAGCTCCTGTGCCAGGCAGACAGCCCCTTGCCGGCGCCCATGCCCCACTGTCCCAGCTCCCCCCCTCCTTGTCCAAAGTGGAGAAGCAGGCACTGCTGGGAAGCACAAAATCTTTCCATTTTCTCCCCATTTCAAGAGAAAAAAAACAAGTGAAAGCACGCTGCTGGCTCCAGAAAGGTCTTGGTTCTCATGCCTGGGAACAGCGCTCATGTCCCACTGTGAGGCATATAAGAAAGCACAGGCTTTTCAGCAGTGTCTGCTTTGATAGGACTAGAAGAAATGGTTTCAAACTAGAAGAGGGGAGATTTAAATTGAATGTAAGGAAAGAGTTTTTATGATAAGGGTGGTGAGGCACTGGCACAGGTTGCCCAGAGAGGTGGTGGGTGTCCCATCCCTGGAGACATTCAAGGTCAGGCTGAATGGTGCTCTGAGCAGCTGATGGAACTGTGAGTGTCTGATCTTGAAGGGGAGTTCAACAGATGGCTTTTAAGGGTCCCTTCCAAGTCAAAAGAATTCTGTGATTCAATGATTCCAAGTCCAAGAGGGACCAAGGGACCTTCCAAAGTGATCAAAACTCCACCTAATGATGGCATTCCTAGAGCTGTAGCTCATAGTAATGGGCTGAACCTGCAGCCTCTTTGCAAACTATGCAAAAAAGCACACACTGCTTTCATCCTCTTGGCAACCATTCATCGAGGGTGACAACACAAGGACAGTCTAACCTGTGTCCCAGTGCGTAGATAAGGAGATGCCACCCTCAAGCAGGTAGAAGTGCCTTGAAAGCAGCTCCATGCCCCGACATCACAACACCTGCAGTGTGAACATCTGGCTGCAGCTCCCTCTAGTGCTCGTTTATTTTTCAGATTTATCCACATACCTCACAGATACACAGAATTGTAGGGGCTGGAAGGGACCTCTAGAGATCAAGTCCTTGGCCAAACACAAGTTCCCTTAGTTCAGCTCATGTGGTTGCAAAAGGGAGTAAGGTGACAGAGTTCCTATAAGTGTTGGCCCTGCGGTATCTCAGGTTGGATATTAGGAAACAGTTCTCAGAAAGAGTGGCACAAGCTGCCCAGGGAGGTGGTGGAGTCAGCATCCCTGGAGGTGTACAAGAACCGTGGAGATGTGGCACTGTGCGATGTGGTGATTAGGTACAGTGGAGGTGGGTTAGGGTCTTTTCCAAACTTAATGATTCTACGATCTCCCATTGAAAATGTTGGCTGTGTCTCCTTTGCTGCAAACCAAGCTCAGAGAACTACAGAGCCCTCCTCTAAGGCTGGGAATGGGCTTGCATGCAAAATTAAGACTCAGAAGCTCACATGCGCTGAACAGAAAGCCAATCTGTCCACAGCAGCCCTGATCCTGCAAAGGTCTGTCAATTCCTCAGCTTTACACCCAAGCAGCATCCTGGAGCTTGGGTGGAAGACAAAACATGGAGTTCCTCTGTGAGCAAGGGCAGGTTTATGGGATGCTGAGCATCCACACACCATTCTGGGTGCTTGGTGTTGCGTGTCTCCATGGCAAGGAAGGGCACGGTGCCGATTTGCAGCAGCTGGGGATCTGGACCACAGGCCTTATAAAAATAAGCCAAATAAAATAAAACAAATAGCTCCATTTTACATTCTCCCCACTTCTACTAATTTACAGGGGATATTCGTGTTACAGGGAAGTCCTAAATGGCTGAGAAGCGTGTTTTTCTTCCTCACCTCCCCCTGCAATTACATCACACACTGAATTAAAATTGAATTTCCTATCGCCCTCCCTATCAGTCGCTCCCTCTTCCTCCAACTTGCAGACCCGGCCCGCCAAGCTTTCTGCCCCAACCCCTTCCAAGCCTGTAAACATCTGGCAGAAACCACCTCCTTATCTCCTTCCCTGCCATCCCCATTCCTCTTTGAAGCTTGCTCCTGGCACTGTGCCTACAACAACGTTGCGATGGGCAGACCGCAGAGACGAGCCTGCGACCGAAAATGCCGCCTCGTGTTTTCCTCTCATCCTTTCCCCTCTCCATCCAAGAGCATGAGCTCAGCTACGCCATTTCCAGGGATGGTCCCTGAGCCCCGAGGTTGGCAGCAGCCTGCATCTGGCACAGCTGCAGCGGTGGAAAGGGAGCGATGGATGGGGGAAGAAATTGGCCAGTGGTTCCGTAGAAAAACAAGGGTGGGGAAAGGAGGAGAAGCTGCAAATTAAAAAATAAAATTAAAAAAAAAAAAATCCCATTTCATTGTGAAATCCCAGCTGGTGGTGTCCTCATTGCACCAAGTGCCCTGGGACAGGGAGTACAGTCCTTTGCCAGGTTACAAGCAGGTGCAAGAGGAGCCTGGCGGCACATCTGGATTTGGTTCGTGCTTTGGATGCCATTTTAATCCCAGCTTTCATCTTCCCCACTCGTTTTTCAACAAGAGGATGTGTCTGCTGGAAAGTGGAGGAGTGGCAACCACAGTGTCTTTTCCCCAAATGCCTCCTTGTTCCCAAAAGAAACCCTTGCAGCCTAACTGCTTACTGGCTGAAAGGATGCAAATAGCTTTACAGACCAAGCCCTGCCTCTCAGGGTTAAGAGAAGATGCCTACCTTATGCCAGGTGCCGGGGGCAGACTCATTATCAGGGTCTTTTGTGATAAGACAAGGGGAAATGATTTCAAACTAGAATAGAGAAGATTTAGGTTGGATATAAAAAGTTTATTTGTGATAAGGTTAGTGAAGCACTGGCACATGTTGCCCACAGAGGTGGTGGGTGCCCTGTCCATAGAGACACCCAAGGTCAGGCTGGATAGGCTCTGAGCACATGATGGAGCTGTGGGTGTCTCTGGCTCACTGCAGGGGTGTTGGACCAGGGACTATGGTCCCTTCAACTCAAACAGTTCTATGATATGATGATATATGCAAAACTAAGAACCTAAATACTCAGAGTTGGGCTTTGAGACTTAGCCGTGGTGTCTGCTACAGTGTAGAAAGACCAGATGGTGAGAAGCAAATCAGATCTTGATACCTTCTACTTCCTCGCAGTATGGAGAGAGAGCACAAAAAGATGTCCTCATGCAGGCAGTCAGACTTCCCACCTGAACACGTGCATTTAAACACCCTATGGAAGGATTCACCCTGCTTCTCTTCATGCGTGTAAAAGTTGGATGTGTGGACTCAAAGAACTCCCTGCATTCCATGACATGTCCAGAGAGCATCTCCTGATGCTTGTGTTTGTTGTCTATCATTAGAGTAGGCATCTGCAAAGTCCTTTCCCTGCTGGCTGCACGCAGGGCAATGAATGCACTGGCTCCAAAACATCTAGTTTAAGAGTAAGAAAGTTGTCAAAGGAAGGTGTGGGTGCCCCATCCATGTAGGCATTCAAGGACAGGCTAGATGGGGCCCTTGGCACCCTGTACAAATGGGGTGCAAGCAGCCCATGGCAATGGGTTGGAATTAGGTGGGCTTTACGGTTCCTTCCAACCCAAACCATTCTGTGATTCTATGATTAATTCTGTGATTCGATGAAAAAATCCCACCTTTTCAAGAGATGGTGAGGGGAAAGAAAGCCTCAAGTGGCAAAAGCTGGGTCAGAAGGATGGGAATTAAACATGGCACAGGATCTGTGGTGGAAGGAGAAGTAAAGCAGGAACCTCTTGCCCTAATTTCACTGCCTATCCCCAAGTTCCTCACCTAAACACACTGCATCCTACAAAAGAGACCTTCCCTGGCATCTCATTTTATTGTGCTATTTATGGGAGATGCTCACTTGAGGTTAGCCCACATCCCATTATTTACTTTGTGCGCAGCTTCAAACCAGAGCAGAAACAGAGGGCAGGAAACCAGATGGGTGCTGGAGGAGTTTGTTTGTTTGCTTTGCAGTAAGCAACTAATCGATCGCTTGCTTAAGCAAAGAAATGAGATAGCAATGTTTTCACTTTGTTTGCAGTGACATTACCTCAGAGGAAACTCGATCCAGACTTGACCACACTCCTTGGTATTTCTTCACCCTCCTTCCCCCTCCCCACTTCGTTTTTAACACCCTTCGCAAAATCCAAAGGTTAAAAGGTCCACCAAAAAAGCATGTTATCTGTCAAGCATCCCCTGTGGCTGGAGATTATCCCCACTGCCCTCCCTCCTGCTCTCAGCTCCTGCCTCTCATGACCATTGGTCCCAGAGGGAGCTGGTAGGGGCTGACACTAGAAACTTCATAAGTGGCTCATGCGAGCATTCAAGTGTGTGCCTTTCCTTTGCTATCAACAAGGAGAAGAAAAAGCAAGCCTAAATCATGCATATTTTGCAAAGAAGATTGAGGCACGTTGTTAGCACAAGCCCTCAGTACACACACTTGAAATCAATGAATGCCCGGAGAAACGCAACACGCACTGCTCTTTAAATGGCTCAAATAACAGAGCTGCAGAACCGGGTAACAGAGCAGCAGTGACTACAGAGGTTCTAAAAATGCCGAGAGATAGCTGGGTACTTACATCCATTTTATCCCATAGCAAATCCCCGTCTGCAGAATCAAGGACAGAAAAGCAGCTAGCAAAAATTGCGGGTTCGGCTTCATTTTCTCCACCGTCCCCCAGTAGGCAATCAGCTTCGAGAGGGGAAAATAGGAGGCTTCTGAATCTCCTGTGCGATGTATTTCCTTCAGCCCCTGTGTTGGGGATGCACAACCTGGAAGGAGACAGAGCACGGAGCCACGGTTAGCTCTGAGGTTGGGCGAGTCGCCGTGAAAGAGATCTATTATCCAAATCGCAAAGGAGTGGTTTATGAATCACGATGAAGTTTGGATTATCCCCTCCCTCGCCAAGCCTTGATACAACCTTTTGAGGCAACAGACAGACAAAACGTATGGCTTGAATTACACCCTGAGTTATGGTCTGATTGTGTGTTTCCATTTAACCCTGCGTGCAGCAAGGCTTCGTTCACTGCTTGGCTTTATTTCCTCCTCTCAAAAATGTTGGGAAGAAGGAGAAAAAAAAAAGAGAAATTTTAAGACGTGCCCAATTCTCACTCTCCATCTCTCCCTTCCTTCTCTCCAGAGTTTTTTTTTTTCCTTTTACAAATTAAAAAAGCTACATTTCCTAACCAACGCAGGTGCCCGTGCCCTGCAGATGTTTCAGGCTGATCTGTTGCAACAAATGCATTCTGCTCTTTCCCTTCTGCTTTCCTTCTCACCTCATTAACTCTGCCTCTCACTTCTTCCAAGTCCTCGGGCACCTGGAGCTCACGGAGTGGCTTTATAAACACGCAGCCCCATCGCTGTAGAGCAGCCCGGAGGGAAAAAAAGCTCTCAGAGATTCCCCCTCCCCTCCATTTTCTTCTTCACTCCAAACAAATAAACAAAGCAGCAAACAAACTCAAATTCTTACAAGGGTTCTCTCTATCTCCGGGGCATGACTTCTTTTAGCAGTGATATTAATAGCAGTAAATGGGTTTCCCTTCAGTTCTCCACTTCAGAAACCGCTCCAGGCTGTTCATTGTGGTCTTTGCAGTGGTTTCCAATAGCAAGCCCACCCCACAAGAAAGCCAACGACAAAACAAGCAGAAAAGCTTGAAAAGTACTCACCAACATCCCCAAGTCATAAGGTAATTAAAGTTGGAAAAGACCTCTAAGATCATCAAGTCCAACCCCACCATGCCCACCGACCATGTCCCTCAGTGCCACATCTCCACAGTTTTTGAACACCTTCACAGACGGTGACTCCACCACCTCCCTGCGCAGCCTGTGCCAATGCATCATCACCCTTTCTAAGTAGAAATGGTTCCTAATATCTGATCTGAATCTCCCCTGATGCAACTTGAGGCCATTACCTCTCATTCTACAGATGCGACTGCATCCCTCCCAACACCGTCCTTTCAACGTTTTGGGATGGAGAACAATCAACATTGGGGACCCCCTTTGCCACCCTTTAACTTGAGGCAAATATGTCTCACCTAAGCCCCAGCTCTGGGTTTGTCCCCACTGTACCTTTCTGCCTTGGTGTCCCAATTACAGAAGCAATAGTGGAAGGAAGAAGGAACATTCCTGTGTGTTTGCTCTGCGATCTGAAATGCATTTTTCCATTCTGGCTGCTATCACAACCCCAGTGTCTGCCTGGTGTAAAGGGTTATTACTGGAGAAGTGCTGTTGTTACTAAGGATTTTAATAACCTCTGAGGGTGAGTCCCCATCTCCCTTGAAGTCCAAGACAAAACTCCGGTGGACAAGAGGAGGCAGGATTTCATTGCCATTGGCTGTTTTCCTTTAATGCCCACTTGGATTTGGGTTTGACGCATCCATTGGAGGGGAAGGCAGCGCTGCCAGGAGCATCCAGACATACTTCTCAGCTCAGGGTATTGCTCTGTTTTTTCATCTCTGGAAGCTCTTTGCTTCCCTCCCCTCCATGAGCACACTGGAAACCTTCAACCCTTAATCCTGCCCGTGCCTTTTAGTGTCCATTTAGATATTTCAGACCCCTTATCTCCTTCCCATGAGTGGCTAAACAGCACATAGTTGAGGGTAAGACATCTCAGACAGTCTCACTATCCAACATCATAGTTCTGTGCATTGAAAAAAATCAGGTTTTTCATCAATCTAGCTCTCTGTCTGTCTTTATTTACTTATTTTTCCCAAAGAGGAATAGAAATTATCCACCTCCCCATCCTGAGAGCTGCAAATTTTGCCCATGATTGCACCCCTGTTACTCGGGGAGGCAATAAACTCCTTTTTCCACTCGCTCCGGCACAGGTTACGTTTTCAAGAGGAATTTGCAAAGGGGAGGGAAAGAGGGAGACTCGTTGGGGGCAGACGTGATGTTTACAGCTCTGCAGAGCTCTGGGTCACTGATCAAACCGGCAGCAAGTGGCCCGCGGTCTCCTCAAACCGGCGCCGTCTTTAACTCAGAGCTCCCTTTTCCTGACACCCCGGGGCTGTTTGCAGGCAGCCCCACTCTTGCATGCAGGAAAAGTTGCTTGCATGCAGCAAATGTTCCCATCTGAC